ACGCCCTGTGGGGCCTGAACAACTGCGTCACAAGGCGATTAAATGTTGCTGGTGCATTGGACAGCCCTTGTGGTATCACCAGCCACTCCCATAACATGCCGCTTGGAGTGATCACCCTAATTAGCAGAATATCACTCGCTCTCATGAGCAATTGGTAAAACCCACCAGCCAAGTCGAGTGCACTGTACTTCGTACGTCCCACCATGTTGTTCTGAAGAACATCCTTTCTAAGAATCGGCGTCTGTGCCGGAATGGTGGCAGCGTTGAGCTTATTGTAAGCATGGACGATACGTCACTTGCCGTTCGGCTTCCGAACTCAAAACGTGGGTGTCGAATGGGGAGACTTGCTCTCACGTACCATCCCTGCGTCGTACTTTGCACAATAAAATGACGTCGCACTGCTCTTTGGGCAAGGGCCATTAGCATGTTACGCAGTATTTGGTCCCTGGAACCAGGTCGATCTCAAATGCACACCTCGGGCCGGAGGTAGGACCGAAGACGGGTCTTTGAAGACGACGTCTTGAAATTCCTTTACCAAAGAATAGTACGGATCCAAGAGGATCGACGATCCACTCCGTGCGTTCAGCACTCTCTTGGTGTCCTCCAAGACAGCTTCATACAGAAGCGATGACGACTTTATCACCTCACCCGGTCGTATAATGACCACTTCGGCCAACCCGCCTCCCTACAAGGCACTGCCGAACTCTTCAAGGGACATCTCCTCCAGCTCAATAAGAGCATCTACTGCAGGCATAGCCTCGAGGCGGACGTCGCCATCTTCCTCCGCCATTCTAACATTGACGAGGGTGTATAACTGTTCACCGTTATCTACGGTCGATACACCTTGGATCAGGGTCGACGCCTGGTGTCTTGCAGCAAGCATACGGCGTCGCCGTCGCATCTGTACAGAGGTTCTATGTCTCGGGGAGACCAGAGTGAACACGCACTCTGCGTCGTCCGGTGTCACCCTCACTTTCCGCTCCTTTGGAGCTCCGAAGCTTTCGGGACCGTGACACGTGTCCCCTTCGCCAGGCGAACAGTGACGATGTCGCCTAACCGCGCTTTCAGCGCCTCAGCATACAGCTGACTTCCTTTCGTCATGGAGCGTCGAGCATAATTGCCCGACGCCCCGGAATCGATGAGGTTCTTCCATGGCTTCTGGAAGCCTTTTACGGTCGCCTTGACAACCAGCAAC